TGGAGATTTTTAGGGTGTGACAATGTACTTCCTCTTCATGCATAGCCAAGGGGGAGGTTGTAGATACACATCGTAACGGGCCAAATGCTATGGCCGCTGCTCATCTCTCCAAAAGGATTCATGCCATCCGTACTTAAACCAAACCGAATGTTTCATGTGTCATTTCCAAAGTTTTTAAATGTTCTGTCGATGTTTCGCCACTGCGAAACATCGGCGGGGTGTCTCAGCATCCCGTCCTGTTGACGTTCTTCAGCGTGCCAACGCATCATTCTAGCATTCCCCTTGTTCCTGAACAAACGCCTTAACCGTGGTATTATAGGGAAATACCACATCACCTTAGCAGGAATTCTCTTCTTCGTTGGCTGCCCGTCAACTTCACCTGGATCATCTCGTCTAATCTTGTATCGTAGTGCTTTACAAACAGGGTATGCTTCTAGGTTCTCGTACTCCTCACCGCGATATAGGATACAATCATTCGGACAAGCGTGAATCTTCTGAACTTCCAGTCCTAGAGGGCAGACTATATTCTTAGCCTCGTACGTTGTCTCGGGTAATTTGTTTCCCTCCGGAAGAATGTTCTTGACGAGTTTTAATAAATCGCCAAATGCCTTGTCACTAACACCATTTTTTGCCTTCTATTGCAAGAACTCCAGATTGATATCCAACTTTTTGTGCCCCTACTCGCAACCTGGGTACAACGACGTTCTATGGTCCTCTAACATACGCTCCAATTTATGGGCCTCCTTTTCACTTTCACAGTCCTCCTTGGCATCCTACAACATCTGACCAAGATCATCCACAGCGTCGTTATCGTCAGCATCCCTGTCCACCTCGCCCATTTGATTTCCTTCAAATCCAGCGTACTGAGCCCAGTCCGGAATGTTCCCGTCTTCCACTTCATCTTCTTCTATTTCAACCCCTTGCTCACCGTGGGATGTCCAACAGTTATAGCTTGGCATGAACCCTGACTCAAATAAGTGGAAATGAATAGTCCTGGATGTAGAATACTCCTTCTGGCTCTTACACTTATTACATGGACAACAAATAAAACCCTTATGCTTGTTAGCTTCGGCTACTCTCAAAAAATAATGCACGCCGTCGATAAACTCTTTGGACCGCCGGTCAGCGTACATCCATTGCCGATCCATCTACATGAAATGAAAAAAAATCGTACATAAATAAATATTCGTACAATAATGACAGTCATACAATAATGATAAAATAATTAAAAACTCTTTCAACAGTCATACAATAATGACATATCATTATTCATTCAATAATTATAAAATAATCCAACAAATAATTCTTATTTATTATTTTTGAAGTTTTAAACTAATATTATTGTTTTACTTCTTTTAATTTTCAATTTAGTTTGTTTTCTACTTTTTAAGATTAATTTTCATTACATTTTAAACTATGAGAATAAAGCATTTTTAAGTAAACAAACAAAATTCCTATATATTCTTCTTCCCCACACAAATTTTCTCTCTCATCAACTTACAACAAAGTTTTGGAGACAAAAAAAATATGTGAAACATAGCTCCAAAAGTAATATAACAACAAAAAAACATTGGAGGATGAAGTTACTAACCATTTAGACACCTCCGATTTGTATATAAACACTAAAAAAATTTCACAAGAAATTTTGGCATGACCTCCCCTCTTTTTTGGAGGAGAAATTTTGAAGCTTGCTTGGGCTGGAGGAGGAAAAAGACATATATAAAGGGGGATCTTTAGTCCCAGTTGGTGTTATCAACCGGGCTTGACATCTTAAGAACCGGGACTAAAGATGATCTTCAGTCCCGGTTGGTGTTACCAACCGGGACTAAAGATCGTATATGCCTGCTGTAGCTACCAACCGGAACTAAAGATCATCTTTAGTCCTAGTTTTTAGTGGAACCGGGACTATTGTGGATTTCGGCCGACTGACCAAAGATGGTTTCTCCACCAGTGTGGACTCCTCGAACTAGTCTAAGCCGCTGCTGCTGGCGGCGGCGATGAGCCCTTGGTGCTCCTGCTCATGGTAGCTCATCTCCTTCATGCAAAGATCACTAATCATGGTATACTGGTATAGAGAGGAGGAAGAAAATACTGGGAGTGGATTTTGATCCCTCGAGGGGATATCCCCTCGTTATTTGCATGTTACTCAAATGGTCATGAAAAATTTTGAAAAAATTTGAGAAGTTGTATTAACATGTGATATATCACTCCACAAACATGCAAGTTCAAATTCGACTTCTACGTCTCGCAACGAAAAAAACAAATTAAACTACAACTAGTTAACGTAAATTCACAATCAAATTTGTTTTTTTCGTTGCGAGATGTAGAAGTTGAATTTGAACTTGCATGTCTGTGGAGTGATATATCACATGTTAATACATCTTCTCAAATTTTTTTCAAAATTTTTTCATGACCATTTGAGTGACATACAAACAACGAGGGAACATTCTCTCGAGGGATCAAAATAGTTTTCCAGAAAATACTACTCATTGACATATGAGTCCCACGTGGGTCCCATGCTGACTCTGCTTGCCACGTAAGCTAATATTGGGTATAACTAGCAAAATGCCCGTGCATTGCACTGGAAAAAAAAAACTATAAGCATTAGACGATCAACTTTCAAATATCATGATCCAAGCCAAAATTTTGCATTTTATATACTTCTTTACGAAATCATTACTATTTTCTTTTTGGTACTGCAGGAGTATAATGGTGCAAGATAAATAATTATATTTTTTGGTGTCTCCATTTAGCTAGAAAAAGTGATCATGCGTTACAACGGAAAATACTACTTCCTCCATTTCATATTATAAGACTTTCTAGCATTGCCCACATTCATATATATGTTAATGAATCTAGACATATATATGTGCCTAGATTTATTAACATCTATATGAACGTGGACAATGCTAGAAAGTCTTATAACTTGAAACGGAGGGAGTAAATCCATATCATGTTAACACTTTTGGAATCCCAAATCCATATCGTGAGAAACATCTAGCCAAAATTTCTCGTTGGTTTAATTTAGCTAGAATGAAATTACTAAGCAGTCATAAACAATTAAAATGTTACTAATTCTATTTCTGAAAATAGAAAAAATACTTAAAATTATTGAGAGAAAAAACACTGATTTTAGCCCAAACTTGCAGCCTTCTTCTGCTAGGTACGTGTGGCCCAATAGTGCGACAGCCCACGCTGGAGAAGCCAGGTTCGTCCGATCTAATGGACAGTCCCGATTAATTCCCGACCTGTATAAATACTGGGCAGTAAAAAAAAACATAACCCTAATTCCCCCCCCCCCCCCCGATCCCCTTGCTCTCTCTCAAAGCGGTAGCGGCGGCACCCTCCCCGAGCGGCTGCGGTGGCGCCCTCCCCCACCGCAACGCCCTTCTCCCACCAGCGCCTCTGCCGTTGCGCCCTCCCCCCGGCCAGCAGCGTCTTTCACCCGGTGGGTGGCGGGCGGCTCAGCCGTGGCGCCTCCTCTCTCCTTCCGTGAGCGGCGACGGGTGGCTGCGCCTTTCCGCCCCTCGCCTCCTCTCCCTCGCCATGGGGCCGCGAGAGGGCTCGACGGTGGCCGGCGGCGGCAGGCGGCAACGCCCTCCCTTTCGGCGGGAGGGGAGGCGGCGAACAAGGGAGGTGCCCTCCCCTCCGCCGGATCCAGTGGGAGGGGAGGTGGCGGCAGCCCGTCGGCGTCCCAGCGGCGGCGCCGCCCTCCCCTCCGCCGAATCCAACGGGAGGGAAGTCAGCGACGGCGACGGTGGCACCCTCCCCTTTTGGTGTCAGCGTTTTTTTCGTCTTCTTGTGTTGATGAAATCTGTTCTTGTAGTTGTGTTAGATGATCTTTTGATGATTCCAATTGGATTTGGATTGCAATTTTGTTTTTGGGTTGGGTTGTGATTGTTTTGACGTGGGATTTAGAGAGGAGGTGCACGCGATACGGACGAAAAAATGGGTGACGGACGAAAAAGATCGGATAGTTACGAATATTTTAAGGAGGTATATAGATACTGCTTATGATCTCGGGTGAGCTGGTCTTGTAAATGTTGAGGGACCCGTTATATATGATAGGAGTATTTTGGTTTAGGGCTTAATTTCAGAGTTGGCGAAAAATGGAGGGACCTAAAGTGAACTTAATGCAAGTTTAGACAGCCCCTATATCCTTTGTATGGAACCGGCCCAATTACCTGGTAGGCCCATCTACTATGTACACTAGCCTAGCACCTACCGCTGTCTACTTTGCTTCGTATGGTCGGGGGCAAATGCCTCTGCCTGCGGGCTACCTCCACCGACTAACAGCGAGGGCGACCAGCGACGGCGGCGCGGCGAGACGGTGCCGGCTGCGCGGCGGGCCAGGGGAAGCCGACGCGGCGAGGGAGAGGTAACCATCCAGGCCATTCCCCAACTGTTGCTCCCCTCCCCTTTTTTTCCGAATCCCAAATAGGATCCTCTTCGCTTGACAAGGAAACTGATTTTTTTTTTATTTCTCGTTGCTTTGGTAATTCGGTTCAGTTCTAATCATGGTTATACTTACGTTAAAGAAAATAGAGAGAATCATGGGTTAGGGATGTGGAAACTTGGGGAGTGTTGTTCGATTACTAGTTTATAGTGGTTACTCGGGTTGCAGAAACTCAATGCACCGTAGTTTTGATCTCAATATGAGAGACGTATATGTGAATTTGAGAACCCTGTGCTCCACAAAAATCAGGCACCGTGGCACATTGATATTAACATCATAGTGCACTGACATGGACGCATGACTTAAATAGGAGTCGAGTTCACATTAATCAACATTGTTGCTCTGTCCAGACAACAAGAAAGTGGAACATTGTACTCCATAAGTTGCGCATTGTCATGGTCTGAATTTCTCAGCCATAGTAACTTGTGTTGAATGGGGTTAATCACAAGGGCAGAAAACCCAATTTTCTGGTGTCGAATAAACCACAGATTTTATGGAAATAAGCGATGCCAAAACTGGAACAAGCTAGAACGTGGGATAGGAGTTGCAATATGGCCACTCAACAAATGATAATTGGATAAATCATCAATAGCACACAGATTACAGTGCAAGATTCATGATGTACAGATACAATACCCTTTGCTCATCTTAAAGGTAAATATATGTTCTTTCTAGCAACATGCGTTGTCTTCTGACTGTAAATGCAGAATCACTTTGTTTGCCCTGCACTAACAATATGCAAGGTCTTCTGACTGTATATGCAAAAACATTTTATTTTTTTTCAGTTGGCACTGCTGATACCTTGCAGCCACTGACGACCCATCAGTTCTTTTGCCCTGTCCACTAGGGCAGAGAGAGGTGTGTTACATTCCATGAAACCTGCGTCACCCAAGAAAACCATGTAATTCTCAGCCCTTGAGGGTGTCAATTCTACAAACGACAGTGCATCCATCATCTGGTATTCATTGAAATAATTGGCATAGCGAGAATTGTACTCCATCATGTGTATGGATTGCTCAAGTACCACCCTCCGGATCCCAGGGCAATGAGAACTTGGGTTCATGTTTGCATTCAGGGTGTCCACTAGCCTCTTAATGAATCTCCGCTTAATCTGTCCATGCTCTAGCTCTTGGGAAAATTCTTCAGGAATGAGTTTGCATATCTGTGAACTAAGGCCAATGAGGATTTCTAGTTCTGCCCCTTCAGTGTCCATTATTCTTTCCAACACCTGTAGTGGAACCAGTAATGTCATGTAGTATGATAAATATAGTTGTACAAACTATAGTTATACTTATATACTTCATTGGTAAATAAATGCCCCCTTCTTTTTACCAAAAATAGCAAAACAAAGACAAAAATTAATAGACAGTGAATGCAAAAATGATACGGCATGCTATACACCTCTATATTGGACTTGTAGTATGTATGAGCAGGGCTCACCTCTCGCAATGTGTGAGATAGTTCCTTTTGGTCTGATTCTGTGAGCTCATGTTGAGCATACAGGCACATATTACGCAATAGACTCGCTGCCACATATATGTATTTATCACCATGGATTAGGATCATATTTTTTAGTTTATGAATGAAATCTGGTTCCTTCAACATAACAAAGCAGTTATGCGAATTTTCTGATGACAGCATTACCAATGCTTGCCCGGCGACCTTTGGCAGCAAGCAATCAACATCTGAACTAAATAATCCTTTAAAATCGAGGAATGCCTTGATCAGCGTGGTAATGAGCATTTGCATTTGTCCCATCTCTTGCCTTGTGTGTCTGTCAATGGCAAGGTTTCTGAGGATTCCTACCACGAGCTTCCTTAGTTCTTGTTTGTTGCTGCTATTGTCTCGCAAGATCTCTGCAAGGTTTCGCAGTAAGAAGGGATGTTTTGATATCTTGTACCGCAGTGTTATGCCAATTTCCCCTTCAATGCTTGTGAGCCTCTGCAGTACCTTCAACGATGACTTTAAGAGAACCTTCTGTTGTGCTTCGGAATTTACCATTGCACTTCTGAAGCTTGTGAATCCAATTATATTGGGGATCAGATCAGTTACTCTGTCTATTTCCACACAATTATTTTGATCACAGCCAGCAAGGCTATAAATGATTGACATGCCTAGTGCAGGGAGGAGATCATCGTCTGTCAATGGCTGCTCCTTGGGAATCGACCAGTACTCCAGTATCCTCTGCCAAATTCTAGGTATGTATCTTTGGTCGTTGATGTGTGTTGATCGGGTTGGTGTTTCCAGCAGGTTATTGGTGTCCCCAATCGGCTCTCGTCTCTGCCCTTGGTTACCAGCTATATCATGTCTTTTATCTTGTCTATCTGCTATATCAACAAAATGATCTTGATCATCATCTGCATCCAGGAGTGGGTGTCCTCTTTTTGGCTTTCCATCAGCATCCAGAAGCGTAGATACAAGCTGCAGTGTCCCAGGGACAGTTTCAACTCGGAGGTTCTTTGCAAGCTCGGCAGTGACCTTGGCGGCATATAACCTGATAGTTGCACGATGATGTCTACTACTCCAGTCCAACATGCTGATTAACCTGGCCATCGTCTGCGTTGAAGTGGTGAGTTTCTCCAGCAACCGTGCCTTGGTCAGACCATTTTGCAGAAATATATGCATCATCTGGACACCGTATAGCTGATTCTTGGACAGGTCCGAATTCAGAGAATCCATGGCAAAGTTGCTGAGGCTGATCCTCTTTGGAGCAAACAGACCTCCTTCCATGTATTTGTCATAGGCGTATGCGTAGTACATATCAACAGATTCTGCTCCCCATCGACCTGTAAATCCACCACGGCGGACGAGGTGTATCCGAGGGATGAACGAGAAGACCTCCAATACTGCGGCAATGATGTAAAGTAGTCCTTGTCCAAGCACCATCCCATAGAAGATAGTTAGAGATTGGGGAAGATTTGTCGTGTCACCGTGACCATCGTAGTCCTCTTGATCAAAGCCCAACGCCGCGAGCACAACACGCACGAGTGCTGCTGGAATCTGTAGGTTGCCGAAGGACACAATGACCAAGGCAGATATGTCGAGGACGATGATCGCATATCGATATAATTTATCAATCATGAACATCGGCAACACAATTGCAGCGAGCATGCACGAGTATAGGATAAATGGGCGCCAAAATACGTATTTGCGGCCCAAAGCACCATGTACTCGGTTGATTATAATTGGGAATTGCAACCTGCTAATAGTCACTAGGAGCACAACCACAAGGAGCACACCATATACTATCCATATGGCCAGTAGCGAGCTTCTGCAAATACAGGAAGCCAGCAATAAGATTGCAACCATGGGGCTCCACAGCGACATCTGACGGCGTAACCGACTGTTGATACGTAGGCGCAGTCCTAGAACTCCAGCACATAGAAACTGGCCAACCGCAAACAATACTACCATAATTGGAAATACTATACGTGGCCGGCGTGCGTCCCAAACAACCGTGGACACCATAGAAACGGAGAAGAATACGATTACCATCAGCCCGTTCCAGCCCAGTGGTCTAAAGGCACCTCTCGTCCGGAAGAACAATTGATAATCCAGCCTATTGTTGCGGGTGAACATCCTGAAAGTAGATATATCGTGTAATAATATAATTAAACAGAAGGGAATTGAAACATACAGACTACAAAACCACATACGAGCCAATTATTCGATTCTCAAAAGTTAGTTTCATTTAAAAAAGTTTGAAACGTTCAGAAATCTTATTGAACACCTTTGACACGATTAATTGCTACCTTGTAAGGTTGCAATTTCAGGTAAATCAACCTTTGAATCTAATTAGATTATCAACGTGTTAGAAATGGAATTCCATCTATCCAAATTCTTGTGAGCCAAACATGGCCAAGACCAGGAGACGTTGCATATATACATACCTCGTGGCTTCTAGGAAAATTATCGCAGTCGCAATACCAAAATCGCGCTTGAGAACGGTTGGGTAGCCACCCAGCAGGACGACGGTGGCCCAGGTGAAGGCCAGCGTGCCGAAGGCGTTGCCCACGCTTTCGATCACCGCGAGCAAGCGAAGAAAGTAATTCAGCCACTTCTCCGGCGCCGCGGCGACCGCCTTATGATCAGCTGGTCCCGACTGCGACGCCGGGGCAGCTGGTATCTGTATGCGGTGCTCCGCGGCAGCGTGGCCACCGGCGGCCATCATGTAAGCTAACTAGCTATAGGTAAGCCAGCCTAGAACCCAAGCCTCAGCACATTTGTACAGAGCAACCCAAACAAGCCGAGATACTCCTATATACCAAAAGACGCCTAGAGGAGAGATTAATTCAGAGGCCCAGCTGAGAACAACAAGCTTAATTACAATCAATCGGTGTATGGAAGTTCGGTGAAGCTATGTGAAAACAGAAGATTGACATGGCAAACCACATCTACAACTCGCAAGTGGGAAGTTCGTTGTCTACTGCACTGTAGCAGTGTACGGTCTGTCGATCTCCGCAGCTCAGGAAGCCGACGTATATATGAGAAGGACGTACGGTAGACTCACTCACGGTTACAGGCACGGGAGGGAGTTGGAAGGTCACCTGTAACGTTAGATTGTTAATTAACCCGCCAGCACTACCGATCAGGCTCATAATAAGATATAGTGATTGTAAAGAAAGATATGAAAACCGAGCTATGATGCAAGGGATAGAGAGATATGAAATTCATCATTTCAATGACAAAAGAAAGTAGAGACCAAATTTATAAATATAGCATGTCTTATGCATACTCATTGTGTACGTCACAATCTAATCACAACTATCTTGGTAAAATTCACTTTGCTAAGCCATTTTGATACTGATTTGCACGAATAAGACAAGTTCTACACCAAAATAAGCATTTTACAAGTTTATGTAATAAATTACATCCACCTAACAAGTTTTTTTTACTACCAATACAATTTACGCTTTTTACAAATAAAGGGTGCCTGTTGTGTTCTTTTCTCTCCTTTCAAAACTTCTACTTGCTCGGTTTCCGCGCGTATGCTTTTCAAACTACTAAACTGTATATTTTTTTATAAAAATATAGAAAAGTTGCTTTAAAAACTCATATTACTCTTTTTTAAGTATTTTTAGTTGATACTTAATTAAATATGTGCTAATGAACCATCCCGTTTTGGGTGCTGAGGGGAGTATTTTGCACTTAATTAGGGTTGGATTCTCGGATAAATAATGGTGGTTAACGATCAATTTCGATTCAACCAATGATCGAGAGCATTACAAGGAGGATAGAGACATGGATTAATTGTTAATGGGTTCTTATTGCTCTTGCTCCAGGCATATGACAGACGACTTCGACCTGTTCTCACATCTCGGATCCGTCGGTCAGTGAACAACAAGTGCAAAAGTCATGAAGTTTCACCATCATATTTATTTATTGTGTTGATGTTAGGTCATGTTGTCGTTCTCCAGGAGACGTGCAAAAAAATTAGCAAAAATAGCTATAGGATATTAAAAATGTGTTATTAGTTGGAAGACACTATAATAACACATATCATTAGCTGCTGGATACCCACAATATGATTTTGATAGCAGCATTGTTCACAGAGGACGACGGTGGCACAGGTGAAGGCCAGCGTGCCGAAGGCGTTGCCCACACTTTCGATCACCTGGCATCTGTATCCGGTGTCGGCCATCATCATTCAAACTAACTTGCTAACTCGATCGAGCTTTGTACACAAGAGCAACCCAAGCAAGCCGATACTCCTATATACGTCTGTATACGTACTCACCAACAACTAGATACGCAGCAAATCCGCGAGAACCCTGCAAGGAGCTGAAGTGCCGTCTGTAATTAAAAAAAAAACAAGATTTGAAGGGAGAGGTGTCCCTCCAAACATATTTAAGAAAAAAAATTAGAAATAAAATTATGAGCGTATTATGGATTGAACACGGGACATCGGGGTTAAAACTACATACTCAGCTCATTGATACTAACACAAGGATTTTCTAGGAGGTCACCCATATAGCTATCCTACTCTCATTCAAGCATGTTTAACTTCGGAGTTATGATGAGTGAATGTTATTAGCTAGCTCAATGTCGGCCGACGAGCCCACAGGAATGAATAATCAGCATAGATCGACTATAATTATCCACTTGATTGGTCGATTCCGGAGTACCTGTCACCATTAACCGGTTTAATTTGTAGTAAGGTTTGGTTTTAATTAGAGCTCGGCGACAAGTATTTGAGAACGTCGGGAGGAGCAGCTGATGATTGATTTATTGAATAATTGCGTAAGATTGAGACGTACGGGCCGGGGGCTAGTTGCTGCTCAACTCACTCTCAGTGATTGTCTCGTTCGATCGATCGATCGCTGCCTTCAATGATCACAGAACGGCATCAAGTGGTTGGACTATGGAACCTGTAAACACTTTCGAATTATTTTCTTGGAGTGTTGTTGTGTTTTTCTCCTCTTTTAATTATTTCTCTTTAGGTGAAAATCACGTTTGGTTTTTTAGACGGGTCACGGCAGCGCTCTTTGCGTCGCTTCCTTCTTAGAGACATCGTTTAGAAGATCCATTTATTAGAGATGTTGTGTGCTTGTTTTTTGTTTTGTTTTTCAGCGGTAGTATCATACATAGATGTGTGGTGTAGTTGTATTTTTTTTCTATAGTCTTTTAGGATTATAGAACTTGTATTTTTTTTCTAATATATTAATAGAAATATCGCACTATCTTATATGGATTGTTTAAAAAAAGTTTGTATTATCTAGAATGAATTGGATTCGACCTTTTACTAAGCCCAGTCGAAAAATGGTTACATAGCATGTGAACGCGCCAATTCCTGTTCGATCCTTTTTCACGGAACAGCCGCATAGGGACATCGATCTCACTCCCCGCCTCTCATCGGCCTCAGTCAGTCAACAAGCGCAAAAGTCATCAAGCTTCCCCATCATACAGTGCTAATGATAATGATGTTGTGCTAATGATTTGCCATGTTTTCCAGGTTATCTACAGCGATTCATCCAGCTCTCATCATGCATTTGTCGTCGCCACTCGCAACGGTCAAGCCGTCAACTCATTTTAGGAGTGAAGAACGAAGCGTTCCTCTCTTCTTTCTTATCCAGTGTTATACACATGCACTAGAACAGGATCTGAAGTACCCCTCCGTCTCATAATATAATTGATTTTGGAGGGATGTAAACATCGTAGTACTACGAATCTAGATGTATCACATCCCTATAAAATTTTTTTATATTATGGAACAAAGAGAGTAATATGGAATGGAGGACCAGTTCAATTTTTTAAGAGATGGTATGGGATGGGATGCGTGCATTATAAGTCTATAATAGACTTGTGCGGTGCCACTACCAAGCCCGACTTTAACTATGTGTCACCGCCACGATTGCTCTCATCACCTCGACTGTATCGATCCCTTCCCATGCCCTTGATCATGCCCGCCGGTGGGACCACATCGATAAGATCTAGTCGTGAAATGCTAGGGATGACCACCGTAGGGCGGTAGCCGACAAGGAGGGGATGGAGGGGGCGAAGGGGCTTCTCTCCCTTAGGGAAGTGTCGACGAAAAATCCACGCGCCAGCCGATGGTGCCAGGCTTGTATTGACGCGAAGTATGTTGACAAACACACTGGCTTAGGAGTTCTGCTTAGCTCCAGTGCAGATCCGCGTGCCAATCAGTTTGATCTTGGAACTGGAAAGATACATAAATTGATGATCAAACAGCCGATCGACTAATAAGCCGATGTTGATAGGGTTTGAGAAATTCACTATACGTCTGGTGTAGATTTTGACAATTGGATAAGTAATGATGTAAAGTCAATCGGCTGAAGGTAATGTAATAAAATAAATATCCAATGATCCAATTGGCCAATAATGATATGATATAATAAATGTTGATCCGATAGTTAAAGTATACATTGGCTAGAAATCCGATGTCATTGAATCCAAATGATTAAGTAATTAATGAAGTCTTTACTGCAATCGGTAAAACCAACTTGTATATGATCCTTATAAGTCGATGCAACACTTAAATAGATAACTCATTGGCTAACGCTCCGATGAAATATTAGCATGAACCTATCGGCTTAACAAGATTTAGTTATCAACAACAATCTAGTAGGTCTAACCAAACCGATGCAACATGATATTGTATATAATAATCTAATACTCAATGAGTCGATAAATCTGCTAGTGTGATGGATATAACAAATCTATCTAGATGATACTGTGAAAACACGGCGGCTTAGAAGATTTGCTCAACTCCAGTGCAGGACCAAGGCTTGCCTCGAGTGCTAAGGGCGTGCCAACTGGTTTGATCCTGCAACCAGAAAGAAAACAGCAGATAGGATTAATCAGCCGATAGCCGATCGACCAAAAGGACGATAGCGTATCGTTGGTAGTCTCAGCTAATAGAGTTAGACTGAATCGACTATGTAGTAGATAGATCAATGAATAAGAACCCTAAATATGCCCTATCGGCCGTACTACTGTCTTAGCAAGATTTTTAAGGTAATTTAAGACAATGCTATAGAAAGATTTGATAAAACAGTATTTAGAGTAAGAAGATAATGTAGTAGCTAATACTCTAGTACAAATCTATATAAGCAAATCAATCTATAATAATATATCAGATAGAGATCAATAATCAATATTGATAGCCCGGTCGATATGACTTAGACTTGATATATTACTATTAGGTGATCTATCTATATAAATGGCAAATGCACATGAAACATGTGAAGAAACATGCATATTAGATAAGATCGGCTGAAACTCCGATACTACCCCTATTATTAGTCAAAAACAGGCAAGATATTATGGTTATAAGCACGACTTAGTAGGTCGAATGTACTGATGCAGTACTAAATATGAAAAGAAATACAATATCTAGACAATCAAGCCATTGACTAACTTTTTTGGGTGGTAGATGCCTAAACCAATCTAGCCTAGCAAGACGATTTAGCCGATACCGGCATAAACCCTAAAGCGAGAAGCAACCGATAGAACTAAATCGATATGCTAAGGATAGATTAACAAAGACATATGATAGCAATGGCCATGAAACAAGGACTAAATATCTAAAATGACATAATAGCCTCGATAGAACGAGCCATCGAGACGGGTTACCTCTGTGGAGAGAACTCGTTGAAAAAGTAGAAAAGTAAAAGGGTGGCGATGCACCAAAATTGTATGTGGAGATCATCCCTTATTACAGAGCTATGGGGTTTATATTTATACCCCAAGTACAAACTAAGTCCATTATGGACACGACTCAAACCTTTCTAAAGTTAAGATATAAACAAGACCATATACGGTGGTCTCTTACCAAAACTATCATAATCGACATACCTTAACCTAATTAACAGATACAATTGCCTTAAATGAGCTCTATCTCTATACCGCAATAACGATTAATCCAATCTAGGCCCACGCCGAGCCCAAATTATGTCGTATCGGCCGTACCGGCCATCAGTCTCCTTGACTTGA